AAGGACTTGATGAAGCACCTGAAGTTTGACCTGTCCGATCTCAACCAGGAGGTAGTTCCACAGAACTGGTCCTGCAACGCTGAGTAGGATAGCATTATCATCAATGGGTTGTTCTCGTCTTTTCTGTGTTTGGGCTCTGCGTGCAAATAATACTGATACCTTTTGCCTTGCCTTTTGGATTTACTTTTTTTACTAAGAGTCTCTGCTCCCCAACACCTAGTGGTCACTTTTCCTTTACCCTGCATCTGTGTGTGCGCATCCCCCTACCAGCTAAGGATAACACTTCGCACTTCTTGGGCTCTAATCCACAAAAGCGCACCATAGATATAATCTTTTAACGGCCTGGAATTTGGTAATTGAGCGATGGTTGCTAAAGTCAGATTGGAATAACACATCTTCCAAGACGTTAAATTAAAACAGCACAGATATTTGCTTACTGAGAAGCTGAGAGGGTTGCAGACTGGACTGAATCTGCCCTGAGATCAAATGATGAAGGCCTTTATACAAATTTAATAATAGTAATAAGAATAAACTCCTGTGCAGCTCCTCATTGGTCCTGTGGGTCCTCCTCCTAGAATATACTTTTCAGAGGGCACAGGAGGACTGAAGGAGAGAGGAAAGTCTAGGAAGATCAGCTCTGTGAGCAGCCTTCTTCTGGTCATGCAACTTTTGGGTGCAACCTATTGTGTCTATTATAATTAAACTTCCGCAAACTAATTAGGATTTTAATTAGTGTTATTCTTCCATTAATTGCCCATCTTTTTCCATTTGTCTTTTTCTGTCCCTTTTTTTTGTTGGTACCATACAAATGTTTTATAGGTAGGTATTGTGAAATTGCTCTCTCGTCTTTTGTTTTCTCATCAACAAAGCTAAATCCACAGCTTACCAGCAGTGAAACCATATGGTAAGTGTTTCTAAGAAGTACTCCTACTATGCAAATCATACAGGCATTGCACAGGATGAGATTATGTTTTGAGCTCATTTAAGTCCTGGTAGATTTCATTTGTTCATTTTTCAGTATCTGGAATATATATGGCGTTCTCCCTAAAACTCTGCTCACTCTTAACTTTTCCTTCTTTGTGTATAAAGAATTCACATATATAACTTATAATCTATTTATTAACTTATTGGTTTGAAAAATGTACATGGCGCTTTTCAAATTAAAATAAACCTTTTTCTAGGTTTTTTAAAATGAAGTTTTAGAGCAGCTAATAAAATCTGAAGTGTAAGTACAACATTACAAAATCTTTAGCAGCGAAGATTAAAACAAGAACAGTGAGTTGGATTCAAACTTTAAAAAATGTATTTATCTGAAGGGGGGAAAAATCAAAGTCTGTGCCAGGCAAGTCTCAGGGAGAAGATTCCGGAGGTGGGTGCCACAACTGTAAAGACCCTGCCAAAGGTCACATTTATGTTTAAAGGCGGGGAGATCCAGGGAGATTTAAGTGAGAGAAGGGGATTATTAAAGTAACCTGGTCTCAGGCTCAAAACTTTTGAAATCAGTGGTGCTTACTTCTGAATATACATCCATAAGATTTCAATATTAAGGATGTTTACTCTGGTATCTTGAAAGTTTGTTGTATAAAACTGTAGGTTGGAATTCAGCATAGCGCTAAGGAGACTGTTTCATCAGTGCAAGCATTTCAGCTTGCCCCTTATTTCAGGCTAATATTATCTGGCCCCATCTATTCTAAAGTGGCCTTTTTGGATGCAAATGAATGTGTGTGTGTAGGGGGAATCACAAAGCAAGTTTAAGCACACCCTAAGTGTCAATTCAACCTTCAAACTAGAATAAGCTTAGGCTTGTGTTAACAGACAAAGCAAAGTTTGCTGGTTTTTCAGACTATGACCAAGAATATGTAATCATTTAAGACTAATGAGCAACCATAAAATGTGAGCCTTTATGGAAAACTGATTCTGTCCAATGACTCTGCTTAGCAAACGTTTTGTAAAATGATTTTCTCATTACCCAACTAAAGCAGCCAGAGGTTCAAAACACCCCCCACATGTTATGACAGGACCCAAGGATTTGCCTCCTAGTATTTCCTTTCTTGAAATACAAACCATGGCAGCTGCCAGTTCATTTGGAAGAGCGAATGGTGTTGGGAATAGTTAATCCTTTCTTCCCATCATGTGCTCCTGTTCAAATTTGCGCCTGGTAGCATTTCAGTGAAAAATAAATTTGAGCATAACGTGAGATTCCAGTGCAAAAGATATGCTGATGTAGCATTTGGTATCTACCTTCCAATATGTCACAGGTGAAAATGGGGACATCCTTGTGACGCCCCACTTCCCAAGGATCACTGCCCAGGCTACCTTCTCTCCTTCCTGGCTTTCCTCCACTTTCTCTATTCAGTCTTCATTCTCTTTGCAGTTCTCTGTGTTCCACCAGAGAAAACCCAGGAAGGTGTTAGATACTTGGAAAAACACATTTTCTACCATATGTGATCAGTATTCAAGACAGCTGCTGTGTGTGTGTGTGTGTGTGTGTGTGTGTATGCTTGTGTAAGTCTGGCTGTGCACTGCATGGTGCCTTGGTATTCACGCATGCCCATTGGCCTACATGTGAGCTGAAGCCAAAATGTCTTCATTCACCGACTCGGATATATAACTTCTAGAGATGACCCTGGGGAGGAAACCGAAACCTGAAAAATGACAGCTCTTGTGAAGTGCAGACAGAAGATAAAGACAGCGAAAAAGGAAAAAGCTGAGACAGTGTTTTACCAGGGACTAATAAATAGGGACAATGCCTGACAAACAGGGATAGTTGGATTCAGGATAACCACAAGGAAGAGGAACTGTACCAGTAAAGAAGAGGGCAAACGAGGCACTGGATTGCATTAAATTTGCTAATTTATATGTATCCAGCGCTTTTTTCTCGGGGGACACAGGGGTACATGTACCCCCAAACATTTTGTGAATCTAACAGGAGAAAAAACTTTAAAAATCTAGTTTCTTCTCTAGCACGGTGAATCTTCAGTTCTGTTGCTACCCCCGATGGCGGCCTCATTTCCTGTCACGGTGTTTCCTGAGTCTCAGACAGAAGCGAGCGTTTCATGTGTGAAGTAAGAGATGGAATCTAGCATGGTGATTGGTCAGTTTCGTAGTTTCCACCTCCGATGGCAGCTTCATTTCCTTGCCCGGTGTTTCCTGAATCTCAGACACAAGCAGAGGAATCGGGAAGATGTTAGTGCACACAACCTCATGCTAATGTGGAAGTTACTGTGAGCTGTCCGCTGTGTAATTTACTGTATTTATTTCCCCCGATTTGAAGTACAAAATGGTATTTTCTTGAGTCAAAATGAGAGTACCCCTAAACATTTTTTAAGAAACAAAGCAATGTATGTATCTATGCAAATTTAGAAGTGGTTATTGACAATTAGCAGAAATACAATACCTTTCACCATGGCAAAGAAGATGGAGATATTGATGGGCGACTTTAAGGTCCTTCCCTACTCTCTCATCTTAGGGTCCTTTATCTTTCAGTTGGACCTGGACTAGACAAGCCTTCAGAGAGAAGTCCCTCAAAGAGAGCATTGCCCTCTGTAAAGTAGGACACATGGGTGCCTTCATTGGCGTGTTTGAATCCAACTGAGTCCCAGGAAAGAAACACTGAGTCTGATCAAGGAAGATTCTAAGCTGTCTCTAGATCAGAGAGCTAAGTCACTGGAACACCTTTCAGATAGACGTTTAAATGTTGAGATGCTCTTTTGAACACAGGTATTAAATCTTCGAAAACACACCCTTCGTGACAAATTGGCTCCCCTTTTAATCTAGTCCACACATACAAGTAGTAATGACGTAATACTATTAGGGCAGGAAGGGCCTGTCAGGCAAAGGACACGTAGCTTAATGGGCCATCGACTGACTAGTCCTAAGCACTCTTTGAAGGGATCAGGAGAAGGTAATGTTTGAAAATACATGGCTCAGGAAGAAAAGCCTACAAGCTCAATACTTTTTAATTACTCTACAAATACGACTTCAGGTAAATGACAACAGATAAAAAAATCAAGCATGCCACCTCATGGACATCATTTTCCAGACATTAATTTGCCATTTGACAAGTCATTTTAATATGTTGTGATGAGTGTTGTCTACATTTATCTAAATCAGTACTATTCAAGATTTTCTGCACAGCAATCAGCCCTAGGAAGAACAGTTGGAATCTTTTAATTTCTTTTTGTCCACCCATCTGATTTCCCTCTTTCCCCTTTGCTTACTCCCCATTCCTCAAATCATTAAAGCTTTCTTTGTTAGGACTAGTCTACATATTACTTTGTCCTACTTAGCCTGGTTGTGCATTACAACCAGGAAATGAGTGCAGAGAGTGAGGTTTTCTTCAGAACCAGCCACCCTGAGTGGCCCTCACCCCACTCCTGTCATTTGTAGGCTAACAAAAGGGAATGTGTGTGGCCAATTTATGAAGCTTTTGTTGGTTTGGAGCCAGCAGGTCTGATTCTTGACATCCATGATGCTTCTCAGTTCTTCAGTCTGAACAGCTTCTGAGGATCCGACCTAGAAGAATACTCTTAATTCCTCTTCCTTTCCAGCCTGTCTTAGACTCACACTTTGCTCCCCTTTTTGAGTTTTTGGATTGCTATGTGACGGCTAATCTTGCTTCTTTCATCAGAGATCATATCTCTTGTCACCACTGTCCTCACTGACACCACCCCACCTGTGACTGGAGACTCCTCCTTAGGCTGTGGACTTCTTCATCTTGAAGAAACCTATATAGACACAACCCTACAACTCTTGTGGGACCTCACATTATGTGTACACCTATCCCCCAATATATATTATATAATGTGGCTTATATTGAACATAGGATCAAGTTCCATCAAAATTCATAAGATTTCCTTCATAAACTGGTTGATCCCATTTGTCGTAGCCACCCTCTATAACTGCCTTTTCTTCTTCTTCTTTCAGTAGCATAGTAAACAGCTGTACTGGGAGATTTGATGTAGTGATAAATTCCATCCTGGGTTTCTCCAGCTGAAGTAATGGCCGTGACTGCTGCCAACAGTGTACTTACTAGTGACGCCAAGGACATAGAGTAAGGGGTGGATTGTTGCAGTGGCTGCTCTTTTGGGGCTGGCTGGCAGTGTTGGTGTAAAAATGTTCATGGGAGCAGAACGCTTCTAATGGTATCTTTGAATGCGCTGCACTGCTGTGATCAATTTTACTGATAAGTGTCCTCTAATTAAACGGAACGAGAAGATCATGACTTATTTTAAACTGGGAAATGAGTTGGATGTAATTGTCTAACACTTCTAATGGTTTTCCTGTACCAGTCTTTCATTTTTATTTTGCTGGTGATGAAGATGCTGCTGTTGCAACTGGAGACTTGAGCACCCTAGTCTTCATAAAAACGGGCCTAATATGTACAGAATGAAAGAGGTTGCTATTCAAGTGAATCCCAGAACAGAAGAAAATGCTGCAATACTGCTAAAACCTTTGAAATAAATGCTGTGGTTATACAATTTAGTATTTATACCAAGCACTGCATTCAATAAAACTGAATTACAGCATAATCCTATGCACGTTTTCTCAAAAACATATCCCTGTATGCACATGATTATTCCCAGGAAACCGTGCATAGGATTGCTGCCATAATCATCCTGTAGCGGTATGTTTAAGACTAGATGCTTTTAGCGCCTGTATTGTTTGGTTGTTTATTTAATTAGTCAATGAAAAGCATGTCAGTATACTTTTTAGCCTTAACATATATACAACAATGTGAAGTGTTTATAAATTGCTTTGTGTCTGAACATGCTTCTAAGAATAAAGCTTTAATTTAGATATGGAAATCCTTGACTTAATGTACCTGGCTTTGTTTTCAGCATGAGATAGGGACCAGGCTTCTTGCTGAAGAAGAGAGGGACCACCATTTATCTTTTTGAGATTGTCAGAGTCTGACAGCTATGCACTTACAATCCAGTTAGCTTGTTTGCTTTTCGTAGCTGAGATCGAGAGCTAGTAAATCTTCTCCCTCATCTCTGATATTCTAATGCTACTACTTAGCATTTATAGAGCACATTTCAAGCATGTAAAGCAGTTCTATGCATCATCTGAGTAATCTTTATTGCCAACTCTGTAATGTAGGGCAGCACATTATCTCCCTATTGCAAATGGGAAACTGAGGCTGAGAGGCTAGCCTCACCCAGTGTTTGTGTGCATATGTACACGTGTGCATGCTATTGAGTTGATCTGAACACAGGAATTTTGGGATTATAGTGCACATGTGTGTCTTCACTGTTCTGCACCAGATAATAATGGCCATTTTAATCTGATGGTAATATGGGAATGGGCTAATGCCAAAGATGTTTCAGGTCTGCTGATAAAAGCATAGCAGTTATTTACTCTCTCCTTTTAATAGGACAATGCAGCCGAATATTCCCACCTCACCTTGGCACATCACAGATAATCCATGGCAATGGTACCACCGTTGGCACAGTAATAACATTCCAGTGTTCTGCAGAACACCAGCTGATTGGACAAGGGGTTGTCACATGTATTTGGAAAGGAAACAGCACACAGTGGACAGCAGACATTCCTTCTTGTAAACGTAAGTATTTCCCCCCAACTGATTTGGACAATTCTTTTACCTTATCTTTTCCGAGTTGATCCATAACACTGGCAAAGCTGATGATGGATGTGTACGGAGATAATGAATGTTACTGTATTTTTCCGTGTATAAGACGAGCTTTTTTGACCCAAAAATGAGGTTCAAAATTTAGGCTCGTCTTATACATAAGTAGTGCTGAGGGGGACACGCAAATGGTTTTTTGGCGCGAGCCCAAGATTGTAAGAGATTGGCTACTTGATTGTTGGGGGGATGCCGAAAACCACTCACCCATCAGAATGCAGCACACAACCGCTCGCATCGCTTACAATTGCCGCTTGTGTTGCAGAAGCCACCTATCAGCTACCCGATCGCTGCCAGTGGCCGCCAATCACGCTCTCACTTGCTGCGACAAAGGCAGCTGTCTATTGGTTGTGGCAGCGGCAAGCAGGAGGGCTAATGGCGGCGATCAGGCAGCTGCTAAGCGAGTGGTTGTCTGCTGCGTTATGGTGGGTGAGCGATTTTTGGGATTCCCCTTCCACAACAATCAAGCGGCCAATGCCGAAAATCGCTCACCCGCTGGAACGAAGCGCAAGCCCAAGTTTTTAAGCGGTGATTGGCCACGTGATTGTTGGGGGGGGGGCAGATGCCAAAAACCGCACACCCGTCAGAACGAAGTGCGAGCCCGAGATCATAAGCAGCAATTGTAAGTGACGCGAGCGGTTGTGTGTTGCATTCTGGCAGGTGAGCCATTTTCAACACCCCCCTAAATAATCCTCCCCAAAAGCTCAATCCCCCCCTATTTTCTAAATTTTGAGGCCCCCAAAACAGGGGGCGTCTTATAGATGGACAAATATGGTACTACCATATGCAAGAATACTTGAGTCACATTCTGATATTACCAGCTACCATCAAAGAAAAGGTTGTTGAGAGCTTTATGAGGGATATAAATGCTTACCCTTGTACTTGTTTCATTTTTGCAATTGTGAGACATGTTCTGTACCCTTTCTCAGAAAACTGCAGGTCTGACCAATCAGGCTGATTTTTTATATAACTTGTCTGTGAATAGCTTTCGCTCACTCTCTTTAATTTAATGATAGGCTTTTGGGGAAAAAATTGATTCATCTCCTAAAAATATGGATAGTTCTGTAAAGTGCAATTAGGCTACTGCCGGTAGATAGCAGAAAGAAGAGGCTGTCACATTGACAATGGGCCTTAAATGGCAACAATATTAGCCCCTTTTCACTCTGTGCTTTTTCTTATTTATTACATCAGTGGTAATGGTCCAACTGGGGGAAAAGAGGCTGCAGCCAAGCCATAGGATTTCAGCAAGTTGCTATCAATCCTAAATAGACCGGAAGTGCATCCACATCTAATTTTAAAATGACAAGGCTTGCCCAGTCATCTGAAATTTGCTTGCAAAGCTGAACCACAGTGGTGCATTCCTGGTTAATTGTGTTTCCAATCACAGCAAGACACTGGCAGCAACAGCTGCTCTAAAGAGTATAAAAGCCGTCTTTGGAAGGTGACTTAATAAGCTATTACCTAAATATCTGGCACCCGGGTCGAACCGCCCCCCCCACCCCCCGTTGCAACGCCACTGACCCTAGTACAAGCCATCAAGTGTGCCTAGTTTTGTGTGCTGACTTTAGCAGGTGATATAGCAGAACCAAAGATTATTCACATGTGCCTGATATCTACCTAGAACCAAGCTAACAGAAAGAAACAGCCCTAGGAATTATTCTACCTTAATGTAATATGTGAAACGGCCAGCGGGATGGCACAGCAGACAATGACTGCTGCTTACCTGTCTGTGCCTCACAGCTAGCCCTGTTAAATACACATGTTCCTTTCTAATATTAGGAGTATCACTTTTCTTATTGTTTGGTAGGCATCACAAGTATGTCTCCCAATATTGCATTGATGACAGAAAATCTCTTGCACCTCCTTAGACTTGAAAAAGGGTGACCCTGGGCAGTGGTATATCTTTGCTTGCTGGGAAGATGAACCCTGACACTGTTATCCATAAAGATAACCCGTTAAATATCAGCTGCCAGGCGAAGTATACAACTAAATTAAAGAGCTGTCCTAACCATTAACTTCTTTAAAGGTTTGCCTCCCATCATTCCCTCCCCCACCCATTTTTTTGGGTAGCTCTAGCATTTGTTAATGTCATTCCTTTAAAAATTCAAATGCATGCATTGTATTGATTCAAGACTGTACAGCATGCGACCCACTTATGTGGTGTCCGACCAAGGGCTTCATAAACATCCTAGTTTCCCCAACACCACCCTCCCTAGGACTGAAAGAATAAAGAAACAATCTAGCACTGAACAGGCTGCAAAGACCTAACTGGTAGGCTGTGTTTGGATTGGCGTGCCACAACAGCGCCCAGGGCCGGCCCTCCCATTAGGCCAAATGAGGCAACTGCTTTAGGCAGCAGGTGATGTGGGGCAGCAGTGGCGGCTGCCTGCTTCTCCCGAGTCACCTGTCCATTCTGCTCTGTCGGAAGGCAGAGATGTATGTTTCTCATGAACTGCCTACGCTGACCTGCTGCTTCAGGTGTATGGGGGATGCTATCCCATCACCAGTGCCAAAGTAAGATTCAGCTGCCAGTTCAGTCAACTTCTGTTCATGGAAAGGCTTCTTGCCTTTTGCCTCAGGCAGCAAAATGTCTTGGACCAGCCCTGGCCATGTCGGTTCTGAATTTGATGGGCTATATTGGCAAATATTCTATCAGTGCCCTCCTTGCTGAGTACTTTAACTTCCTCTTCTTGCCGCTGTTGCTGATTGGTTGGCTGTTGCTGATTGGTTGGCTGTTCCCTCTGGGCCCAATCAGCACTGCCTTCTAGAATCTAGAGGAAGAAGACAAGGTACATGCTCTTTGCTTTCTTGGAGATGGAAGGTGAACACTCAGCAGCAGGAAGAAGGGCAGTAGCACAACCAGGAGACTCCAGGAATTGGTGACTGGAGCCTTATAGAGGCATGGTTCTGGGCAGGGTGCCTGACAATGCCAGTCCCTGGCGCCAGGCCTGTGCCACAAGCTGTGCATATAGACAGAGTGCTTCCCTCTGCCTCATTTTTCCATTCTTCTTCTTCTCTGCAGGATTAGTTACTGTGCCAAGTTACTTGTGAGTATTTCATTGCTCACTTATAAATAGGATGCTTTTAAATAGTCTGCCTTGAGATGCTCCCAGGTTGAACTGAAGCCAAAACACTCCACTTGTCAGCACATACTAAAGTGAGGGGTTCATTAGCAGGAATACAAAGGAGGTAGATATCAGGGCGGATGTCAATCTCTGACTGTGTTTGCTGTATTGCAGCCGTATCCAAATACGAAACCTTTGGATTTAAAGTTGCCGTCATTGCCTCCATTGTGAGCTGCGCCATTATTCTGCTGATGTCGATGGCTTTTTTAACCTGCTGTCTTATCAAGTGTGTTAAGAAAAGTGAGAGAAGAAGAGCTCAAAGGTATGTCATGTTTGACAGGGAAAGTCGTTTCAGGGGAAAGGTTTAAGAGAGTAACTTGAAGGCTCAGCTATACGAGAGACAGCATGTTATTGTTCTACTGCTGATTTTCTTTGAGACTTTCGCTGTACTTGTAGAATTGTAGAGTTGGAAGGGACCCCAAGGGCCATCTAGTCCAACCCTCTGCAATGTTGTTGTTGATGTAGTATGGACGTGCAAAGTGGAAGATTCCCTTGGTTTCCCATGCTACAGTGTCTGAACATTTGGGGATGTGCTTTGCTGAGGGGAAGAAAGTCAGTTATGTGCTAGCATTGCACATCATTTTTGGCTCTGTGAAACTGAAATAACTGATAACAAAACAAGTGTTTAAAGCATTGTTTGATTTTGACAGCTTCTCAGCTTGATTCTAGTGATGGTACCCCAGTGTTTGCTGTGTCTAGGGAGAGGCAACATACCTCAAGGAAGCCACGACTCGTCCAATCTGTGCAACACTCCCTGCCATATCAGCAGCCATTCTTCTCCTGCTGCTGCCTTGGAAACAATGTTTACACCATGCTGAACAATCATAGGCAGGGTCAGTGGACATTAGGACTGGGCTTAGGGAAGCAAGTGCTGGGCTCCCACTGCAGCTGAGGCTGGTCACTGACTTCCCTTTAAGATATTAATATATATATTTGGAGAGCAGCAGTACTCAGCCTGTCACTGTGAAGAGAAGTGCGTGGCAAACTACTGCAATAGCCACTACCATTTTCATTTCCCCAGAATGGTTCTGAGCCCTGATGCAGCAGCAGCTGAGTCCTGTAGTAACAAATTTTAGACTAGGCCAGGTGACCCTTTACAGACAGAGGGCCTCATTCCCTTCTGGAGGCCACACACAGGTGGTGGGCAGGGCCAGAGACAAATGTGGCTGGACCAACAAATGTATACTTTCCCTTTATACAGTAGCTTCTACTAGGGTTGCCATATTTTGAAGAGCAAAAAAGAGGACATATTTGCCGACTTCTACTTTTAACTATGGAACGGTATGACGACTCTACCCATGAAAAAGAGGATGTGTCCTGGAAAAAGAGGACATATGACAACCCTAAACACACACTCACACACTCACACAATTTTTCTTGAGGAACTGGCTTTAAAAAGGGACAGATGAGTTGCCCTGGGCAAGATGCCCTGGGCAAGTGAGTAACAAATTTAATTTATAATAGGAATAATTTCAGGAGAAACTTCTTGAGCAGGGACAGAAAACCTTTTACAGCCTGAGGGCCACAGTCCCTTCTAAGCAACCTTCTGGGGGCCACATGCAAGTGGTAGGCAGGACCAGAAGAAAGAGTGGGTGGAGCAATATATGCCAAATTACTCTCAAACCCCTCTCTATCCTTGATCCAGCCAAGGAGAAGCCATTATCAGAGCTCAATAACACATTCTAGCCAGGCAGAAATACCCAAGAAAGGTCTCAAAATTTAGGGGTATGGCTTGGGAAAGAGGAGGGGTGTGAGATTCTTCAAGAGGCATGGAGTGTAATTTCTGTATACAATTTTTGTAGCTGGGGAGGGGAAGACAGTGGCATCTCCAGCCGCCAAATGTAATGTGTAGCCCAGCTTCTTATAATCTCCAAGTTTCTGGGCTGTGGTCTGAAAATGCTAACAATCCAATGCTATTTCTGAGGGTTGTACAAAGGCCACAAACACACCTTGATTTTTAAATAATGTAGATAGGGCAGAAGCAAAGACCGCACAAATATTACCAAGAAAAAGAACATACTTTTAATTCTATCACCTGACTGAACCATGGAGGGGTGAGAGATGTGTCCCTTTTGTTAAAGATTTAACTATTATGTATGAGGAGGAAGTTAATCAGTATTATATCCTGCAAATAGAGGTCTGTGGCCTGTGGTGAGAGGGCAACAGGTGGGTTGTCAGTGCTTTAATGTAAAAGAAGGAAAGCCATGAAACCAATTAAATTATTTTTTTAGCTGGAAACAGCCAGTGACAGCAGCACAGCTTGTTTATATAAGTGCTGTTCAGGAAGGCAGATAATGGCTATTATACTTTAATTTCTGAAATACTAGTGCTTCCATATTATATAATTGAAGGGTTTTTGACACCTGTCTTTTGTTCTTATATCTCCTGAGAATTGTATTGGACTTTCCCAAATGCCAAATTCTTGTTTATGCAAGCATTTAGTGGATTAGATACTTAGTACCCTGCTGGATCCTTCCCATTCTTATCCACTACAAGCAGCCTCCTCACACACACGAAGATCTTCTTTCAGGGGGTGGGTTTAGTCTGTATGCCAAAGGTAAACAAAACAAAACAAAACAAAACAAAACAAAACACTGTTTTGCTTCAAAATCAGAAGTTTGTCTTGTGATGGCAATTTTCCTGGGTTTATTGCAGAAAATCGCAGTAAAAGTTTCTAAAAGTAATTTAAAATGTGGCTATTGGAACTCTGGTGAAAGTTGTCCCATCTGTCTGTCTGCAATGACACTTCGTTAATGCATGTGGCAACTTGCTCTGCTCCCAGCCGTTGTCATGTTCACACAGTCTCTTAAAAGGTGAAAGGTAAAGGACCCATGGACGGTTAAGTCCAGTCAAAGGCGACTATGGAATTGTGGCACTCATCTTGCTTTCAGGCCGAGGGTTGCCAGTGTTTGTCCACAAACAGCTTTCCAGGTCATGTGGCCAGCATGACTAAACCACTTCTGGCATAACAGAACACCGTGATGGAAACCAGAGCACACAGAAACGCCGTTTACTTTCCCGCTGCAGCGGCACCTATTTATCTGCTCACACTGGTATGCTTTCGAACTGCTAGGTTGGCAGGAGCTGGGACAGAGCAACAAGATCTTACCATATTTTAAACACTTTCTGCTTCCCAAATGGCACCTTTACCCACCCTGATATTATTTAATAATATGCATTATTATTTTCCAGATTTATTAGTTGTTTGCTACAATTGCAAATACACACAATAAAACCACCCACGTCCAAATTGCACAACTGTTCCAGAAGTCCTGATAGTGTGACTGATGGTGTCAAAAGCTACCATGAGCTCAAGGAGCATGAAAAGCTCCCCGCCCCCCTGTCACTCATTCACAGTCCCATACGTGTCTACATGATGGGTGTATACTTTCTAAAGCAGTAGCAGAAAAAGAGGAATGGCAGTAAAAATAAAAAATTGAAAGTATCCCCTGCAGATTTAATACTGTTTCCAATTTATTTTCTGCCTGTTGATGTCATGTGGTCTCTTTTCATGGGTGCTCTTCATATTTGGGTGTCCTTCCTTTGAAACTCTTCTTTGCTTTGCTCTTTGCCTGTGCTACTGAAACCTTTTTAGCTCAGTCACCTGCCTGGCTAACGACACTGCTGCCGCCCATGTTTATCCTTTCCTCTGTATCCATTTTTACAGGGATATGCAACTATGGTACCAGCTCAGAAGTGAAGAACTGGAAAACATGCAAGCGGCTTACTTTGGTTTTAAAGGCAGAAATAACAACAATAACAAAATAAAGAATAAGCCAGTATTTGATGATGGTAGTAATATGGCGTATGACAACCGAGGCTTCTGCAGGTAAGGTAGCCCAGGGTACTTGGTTATGCAGCTTTGCAAGACCAAAACTCTTTAACACATTGAACAGTCTACAAAGTACCTTGGACTGAGGTGGGCTGTTTGCCAAATCAGGGTCTGAACCAATTCTTGAGGTCTGTGGACCTCTGTACTAGACAGTGGCAAATGACTGACTTCTCTGGTGTTCATACAAAGCCCTTTATCATATACATTGTTTGACTGTATGGGCTCCATTCAGATAGTGCTAAAATGCCTCTGCACAAAAAAAAACTCAGTTCAAAATGAAAACTTTTGATCATTCTTGGCATCGTGCCTCCAGTCTTTGTCTACATGTCATGGTTTACTGGTTTAACTTACCGTATTTTTCGCACCATAGGGCGCACCAGACCATAGGGCACACCTAGTTTTTAGACAGGGAAATCAATAAAAAAAATATTCCCCCCCCAGTCCCAAAGAGCAGCGTACAGGCTGCGCACAACCTCTCCCTGCCGGAGGGGTTGCGCACGGCTATGGCACAAGCCAAGGCAGCGAGCGGGATGGATCGCGCTGGCTGTTTTGGCTTCCTCTTTAGCCCCATGCAACCTCTCCCTGCCAGGAGAGGCTGCGCAGCGCTAAAGAAGCCATAGCCCTGTGCAGCCTCTCCCTGCCAGAGGGGTTGCGCGTGGCTATGGCACAAGCCTGCATTCGCTCCATAGGACGCACACACATTTCCCCTCAATTTTTGGAGGGGAAAAACTGCGTCCAATAGAGCGAAAAATACGGTAATATATATCACCTACGTGATGCAGTCTTATTTGGGATAATGCAACATAGAACACAGTATGAAGCTATAGTCCTGATTGTGTATACATTGGGGCTATGTAATTTGAACTGGTCAGTGACTCTGATTTGGATGTAGTAACAGAAAGCGCAGCCTTATTACCTTTTGTAACCACCATGTCGTCTGATGCTTGCATACACATCAGGTTCTGCTTTCCCTGGGCCATGGGCACTCCCAATTCATGGGATGCAAAGTCCATTCAAGGTGTATGTGCTGATGGAATCTGCACCCTTTCACTCAATGCTTCTCTCCCTTCCTGGGAGGAAATCAAAATCTGGTTAAATCAGAATACAAAATCTGATAGAGCAATGTTGGATAGATTCTTTTTTTCCAGGTATCTCTGCCCAGCCTGTGGAACTCTCCTCAGGCCATGCCCTTTCCCAAACCATTTTTCATGCTTTTGCATGGCTGGAATGTGTCCTTGAACTCTGGCAATGCCTCTTGGAGAGGTGTATGGAAACCTCTGTTGCTCTCACCATTTTTTGCCTCTGGCTTCCAGCCACCAGAAGACTGCTTATGAGGGAATGTAGGATAGCTCAGTTGGTAGAGCACGAGACAGGGTCATGGGTTTGAGCCCCATGTTGGGCAAAAGATTCCTGCCCTCGTGGACTCTTCCAACTCTAGGATTCTATGACCCGCCAACTTAAAGCAATATATTTTTAAAAAACTAATGTCATCTGCCTCTTCTTCTATTCTTGGCTAAGGAGGCAGGCCAGTCTTTAGTGCCCCTGAGTGATAACAACAGTAGGGCAATGCCTTCACTTCCATTCAGGGCATTGGTGGGGAACCTTGGGCCAATTCCATCCTGCCAAGCCTTATTAACTGGTCTTTAGCACTTTTCCTAGGCTCTGCTCCACACCATCCTGAAGTGAATTTGCTTGGCAGGAATGTGTCCCTGCTGCTTGCCCAGATGGAGAGATTTGTATGTAGAAACTGCAGGCCTGTGTGACTCAAATGCAGCCCCTATCCAAAAACCAAAGTCCCCTTCCTTGCCCTGCCCACTTCTTTGCCTCCGGCTGCCCCATTACCTTGGGCTTGCAGCCCCTGGAAGGCTGCCCATGAAGGCAGTGTGTCTACTCCTAATTTAGGGTTTTTAAAGGAGTCGTTTTACTTGTTGTGGAGGTTTTATTTGGTTGAATAAAGAGTGTAGGCGCAGTCTGCAATTTTTCTGGGAAGGAGATTTATTTAGAGCAGCAGGGAGCTGAGCTCTATAAGCTACTCCATAATAGCAATTGTTTTTATTGTCGGATATTCCACTCTTTGTTTTTGAATTTATTACTGCTGCTTTTTTTGCTGCTAGTAGCTGGAAGAGAGCGAGCAGTTTAAATGGCAGATGCATGTTGCAATAACACTCAGACTTGAGAGGGTCGGAGGAGATAATGCAAATAAATTACGGTACATTCAATTCAGCTCCTGCTTTGACGGATGCCTGATTCTGACTCATAGGCCAATCCTGGGCACTGCTTTGCTGCAGCACAGGAAAGTACTTCAAGGGAGGCATATGTGTTCATGCACTGCAACATTTTACAGGATATCCCTTAGCCTGCAGACTCTGGTCTACATAGCACAGGGAGCTCTCTTAACAGTTCTTAAGCTGTTGGGGATCTCCTTGGCATCAGCAATACCACTTTAGCTGCTTTGTACTAGGTCAGACTTTTTCTTCCATCTGTTGCCTGCTGTGAGTGACAGCCACTTTCCAGGGTCTCAGGCACAGGTCTCTCCCATTAGATGCTGCCTGATCCTTTTAACTAGAGATGCCAAGGATGAAAACTGGGACCCGCTGATTGCAAAGCAGGGATCCTACTACTAAGTTCCACCATGCACCAGCCATTCCTATTTTCTAGTAGCTATCCCTAGAACTGCACATTGTTTTTCCTATTAGGCCCCCATTTTTTCTGGTGGAATTACTTTTTTAAAATGTGGTTAGTGTGAATGGTGGAGTGTATGGGGTGTTAGGGATGGAGTAATACCTCTGGTGGGGGGCAGGTCAGGCTCCTTCTGGGATAGTTTGTCCACTTTTGATTCCTACCCTGCACTCAGCTCTCCCTTGTGGCTCCCAGAAGCTGCCAGCATGTGATAGCGGCCCCACCCTGGGAATGGCTTTGACTGGCCAGCTAAACCAGGTGAGGGTTGCCAATGGGTCCCAAACGCTCAGTGAGTTAGGGACTTGCCCTGCGTGCAAAGACAAGCTCTGGCAGATTGAGTGGACGAGACCAATAGTGGGTCCAACAGTCAAGAAAACTCTTGATCCTAAACCTTTGCTACCTTGTGTGATTTCATTGGGAGAGGAAAAAAAAAGGCTGAGGAGTAAACCCTACACCGGGCATAGGCAAACTGGGCCCTCCAGATGTTTTGGGACTACAACTCCCATAATCCCTAGCTAACAGGACCAGTGGTCAGGGATGATGGGAGTTGTAGTCCCAAAACATCTGGAGGGTCCAGTTTGCCTATGCCTGCCCTACACCAATCCAGAGTGGAGTCCCTGAGATGGTTGGATGGAGCTTTGTATGCATTATTCTGGCACCTCCTGCAGCCCAGCTGGTGCCACGGGCTCTGCTTTCTTTTGCACCACATCAGTGAGGCCAAGAGGGGTTTCTTGTCATCTAGGTGGCTCAGGACCTCCATACACACTTGCCTAGGCTTGGAGCCTGGTGCTGCTAACGCAGTGGGTTTGACTTCATCCCTGGAGGCACACTCCATTGCCTCTTAAGACAGATGGATGCCAGCGACCATAATTGTGTGAATGGCTGCAGTGGCAACTCTCCAGTGTTTAGCTCCCTCCTTAGGATCAAATCTGTGTCTTGGGCATGGATGTGTCCCATTTCTATCTGACATACAAAAACAGAAATGAGCTATGTATTGCAAGCCCATATTTCCTTGCCCAAACCTGAGGTCTTCACCTGAGGCCTTGTTAAAATGTCTCAGCCCACTGAGCTGGCAGGTGGCTAAAAGTGAAAAGGTCTTTGTAAACGGGGTGCCACTGCTTTTTTAAAAAATCTTGTCACTTTCAACTCTGTTTTAGCTTTGTTGATTTTTATTCTTTGCTCTCTGTTCTGCTCCTGATGTTACCTGAAGTTCTAATGCCACTTTTTACATTCTTGTCTTTTTATTGTATTATATTGGGGACAGCCAACTAAATCATACTCAGAGTAGACCCTTTAAAATCTCAGAGAACCTTTTGTCATTGGGCAGCACATAAATAACATAAACAAAATAATAAGCAAATAAATTAAAACCTCTCATTTCATATGGTGGTGAGGTATTTTTTAAAATTACTTTTGATAGCAGATTCTAGTGTAAGCATTAGCTTGGCTTTTAAAAGAGTGCCGGATAGACCACAGCAAATTCAATTAATTACTGTATAGTTTATCGCTAGCTTTAAACTAGTGTGATGTACCTGTAAAAAAACACGGGAAATGGTACGTTTGGTACAAAGTCTAGTGGCTACTTAATCAATTTTTGAGTTTTGAGGGGTTTTACATATACTTAAAAAGCTAATTACACAGTGATTATATCCTAAGGCACTTCGTCAAAAGGATTAAGAGCTTGCTTTTAATTTTAGACACCTGCATGTAATGAAGTGCTGAGATTAGTTCAATATGCAGTCCATATTTACATTTCTGGAATTTGTACCATTTTGTTTACTAAGCAGGACAGTTGTTTTCAATTTAAACACAAATAAAATATATAAAGCAGCAAATACTTGGTATGCAACAGTCTGTTTCACTAAAATCTCAGAATCTCTATTCAGGGCCGTAGCTAGGGGGTGGTGAGGAAGGCCCCCGCCAGGCAAAATCTGCTAAAAATATTTCCATAAATATGTCTATAAATAAAAATATCAATTATTGCCTCTTAAGAAAATGTTTTTAATAGAGGGTATTTATATGATATGCGGGGGCCCTGTTTCCCCCTATTTTTTTCTGTACCACATTCCCTAGGGGGCGCAATCTGGACGGTTCTGCCAGGGGCGCAAGATCACCCAGTTACAGCTCTGTCTCTGTTCTGTGCTAATCTCTGCAGAGCACAGACTGTTTTACTATAGCCCTCACTCAGTTTCAGGGATATGAAGGGATGAGCAAGGCCACACTTCCTGCCTCCATTCTGTCATTCTCCTGTGGCTCCATTCATGTGTTATGGAAAGGCGTGTCTGAGGTTGAGCCCATGCTCTGCACACTTTGCCCTG